CAATACTACTTTTTGAAGACTATAACACAAGAACAACCTGATTTTGGGTGAGTAAATTTATGGGTTGATTATAGCAAGCTGAAATCTCTTTAAATTCATAGAGAAAAAATGCTAAAATATTTAACATTTTTAATCCACTGTATTACAATATTGTTGTTTTTCAGTTGGAAGTTCTACCTTTTGCATAATCATTTAGGAGCTGTTCTCGCTATGGTACTGCATTACTCTATTCTCACATGAATGCTGTTGGGTTTTTCCAGCTCCTGCTGGATTTTTATTGCCATAGAGGTTGGAAAACCAAAATAAGTTAGAATAGATCTTTGCAACAGCTTGTAATAGGCTCCAGTGACCTGTAAAAACCAAATGTACTGGCAGGCAAGCAAACCTCCTGAGTTTTGCCAGAATGCTAACTCTTGACCGCAGTCACTGATGTTCATTATAAATCTGTGCCATACAATAAAGGTAGAGGAGCTCCCTCAGTGCCAATGCCCGTTTCTAGTATTGTTGTTCTAACTAAGCCACATATAGTTAATCTCTAACATTATAAATTAATCGGGTAGTAAAAAGAACTCTTGAACCATAATCTGAAATAGATTCAAGTATAGTATTGTGATAAATAATCAGGATGTTTCAAAACAAGAATTTCCCATTTTGCATTGCTTCTCCAAATATTAGCAGTTTCCTTCTTATCGTGAATGTGCAATAATAATCTCTGTTAAAATAAGTATGTCTGGTACCTTCTTGGTTAAAACAAGCGTCTGGTATCTGTGCTTTGTATTTCAGATGAGTATGTATTGAATGAAAGAATTAGTGTCGTCTTGATTAACTTACTAATTTTGAACTATTCTTTGTGCTACGATTTGTGTTATAGAAAGGCAGTGGTTTTATTCATTTCAGTAGCACTATTTCCACAAATTCTGTAGGAAAGTTTGATGCATCAGTCATTAGTGTTGTGCTATCTCAAGTAAAAATAATTCATTAAGGGTACCAGACAAAATGTAAGCTAAGGAACCGAATTAAAACAAACAAAAAAACCTACTCCAACACAAAACCCCAAAACTAAACAAAAACCTTCCTCAATTCTTAGAATATTTCAATGCTTTCTGTATCTAAGTTTCCTTTTAATACAGAATGTTGTATGATGCAGAAAACTGTAATGAATTTTCAGAGACAATAAGATGGCATTGGTGGCTTACACTAATCAGTGAAACATTATCAGCGATAAATTCAGGTTACCTGGACTTACAGAAGCAATGGGCTATAAAATCTGAGTGGTACCTATTTTAAGTAAATTACTATAGAATACTTGCTCAGTATATTTTAGGTAGAATACTGGGCCATAACCTGTTTCCTTGGCAACCACATACGAATAAAAGGTACATTAGCAAAGCTGCAGATGTGTGTCAGTGAATGCTTATTAAGCAGCCCAATGCATTTACATACCATGTGCTCGCAATAATGCATGCATCTTGAAAATCACCATATAAAAAGATTTCTGGGCATGGCCCAATGTGGATCTTTAATACTCAAAGGTTTTGACCTAACCCCCCGTCTTTTCAATGCAAATATCTCTTGTGATTTTTTTCTTTAAATTGGACTTGCAATAACTGGACAAAATCAGCATGGTAGACTAAGTCGGCAAATTGAAACCTTCCTCCAAGAGTCTGAATACTTACAGCGCTACTTTAAGACAACAGAATATGGATTGAAATGAGGGGTAGGGCTTGGTCTGGGCCACTTAGGTAAGCACAAAATGGAGCACAAGAATATTTAAGAGCATACAGCTGAAGTTGTGTGTCCAGTCAGTTGCCAAAATAAATGGCCATACTAGAGTGATTCAGAGTAACAGCTATCACTTGTGCATTGTTTTTGGCATGCTGAAGTTTACTAATCTTACAGCTATGGCATAAATGTTTTGAAATATTTTAAGGAATACTGCAGATCAGTGACAGCCAGCTGAAGGCTTCAACACCAATTCTAGCTTTCAAAATGTCTGTGTCCAGTCATCCAGCAGACCAACTAAAGCAGGTGTTCCCAGGGGAATGGACTTAGCTCTACTTTCAGTCTAGCATAATTTGCTACATCAGCTGTAGCAAAGGGCAAGAAGGGCTGCACTGGCCCAGCCCCCAGCACACCACATGGAGAAAAACAGTGCCCCCTAAACATGCCACTTCGCTGCTGCTCTTGTGGATGGTGGCTCAGATGTTCAAAGGATGTTTCCTCTGAAGCCTGGAACATGGGAGGCTGGGTTTGACTACTTTTTTTTTTTTTCTTTCTTTCTGGTAACCTAATGGGCAATGGAATACCACCTAGTAATTTGTCAGAAGATGAACAAAAATCACGTTTAATTTGCTAGTTTTGTCTAAAGCTATTTGAATATATAAATTAGTACTTTTGACAAGTCAACAACAGAAAAATATCTGCTGTTGTCACTCTGTAAACATAGCTTCATGATTGCAATTGATCTGTGCTTGCAGTGGACTCTGGTTAAGTCCTAGAAGGATAGGAGGCTGGAAAATGGCTTGTCAGCAGCACAGAAAAAGAACAAAAAAACTTAAATGGCAAATAATACTGACATTGTTCAGAGATAACAAGATGTAAAGTCAGCTACTTCTTAGTAGCAGTACAATGTAAGCTTTTATGTTTTGTGCAAGAGTTTGGATTTGTGTCAGTCATTGCTGTTGCTTCATTTTCTTTTTTAGACTGGTGGAGAGACAATGTTATAGTTATACCTTAAAAAATTCCTTGTATGTGTTCTGTTTAGTGTTAATGGGACTCAGATTAGGCCACACCTTAACGGTAACAAGGCAACATACTTTGGCGAAAGACTTCTTGGTGCACATGCACAGCTTGTAGTTTGAGACAAACAGGTTCTCCTGGGCTCCTATTAAGCAAACCTGGAGGACTAGGCAAGTGCTGCAGGTCTCCATAATTGTCCTTCCTCTCCCTTCCTCTCCCTTCCTCTCCCTTCCTCTCCCTTCCTCTCCCTTCCTCTCCCTTCCTCTCCCTTCCTCTCCCTTCCTCTCCCTTCCTCTCCCTTCCTCTCCCTTCCTCTCCCTTCCTCTCCCTTCCTCTCCCTTCCTCTCCCTTCCTCTCCCTTCCTCTCCCTTCCTCTCCCTTCCTCTCCCTTCCTCTCCCTTCCTCTCCCTTCCTCTCCCTTCCTCTCCCTTCCTCTCCCTTCCTCTCCCTTCCTCTCCCTTCCTCTCCCTTCCTCTCCCTTCACTTAATGCTTGAGAAAGAGGAGGAGGATTACAGAAAGGAGCTTTGCCTTGCTTATGTAACAGAAAGGGGAGTGAAGACACTTTGGGCTGCTGGGTCCTTCTTGTGCCCCACTTTGAAGTGTTGTTGGTCTGCCTGATGGGTGAAGAGCTGGTTTCCTCCTCAGCAGCATCACTGGTTGCTTTGACCTCAGCAGTGAGAGCAGTGAAGAAGATAGTCCATCCAAACGTTTTTCTTGTGGATAGGCTGGCCTGCTCTAGGCGCTGAGAAGCAAACCAGTCAAGCCCTGGTGAAAATAGTGTCACCCATTAGGAATTTGCAAGAGCAGGTAATGCTATATACATTTTTTCCTGCTGTTGTTCAAGAACTGAAATTGCTTCACTAGAAAGGAAGTTTGGAACTTTTTTTTTCCTAGATAGTGTGAAACACTCTAAAGGAAAGAATGCCTTGTGCCCTAAATTGCAGAAGTGAGAAAAGACTTCAGCAAAGCATCCAAACACCACTACCTCAGTAACCCTGGAACTAGTTTATACATTTTAAAGAAGTAAGTTTGCTGACAGTTTTCTCTATGCTTTGCAATTTTACTGCATAAGAAATAATCCACTGCTAAACTGCTTGTACTTCTGTTTAATAGGAACATATTTGTGTGATGTTATGTGCAATCATTTAGATGTTTAATGAGAACTGGTACATATACACTAGCAAGATGGCTAAATTTAAAGTATGTAATGTGCATTGTGGCTTACACCCTTACATCAGCACTGCAGATGCAGATGTATGTGTGATTTCTCACAGAGACCACTGTAGTCCATTGACATAGCTCTAACTGCAGCACCAGTTCCTCCATTTTCTTTGTGTGCAATGGTTTCACATAAAACACTATGAGAACGTAAAATCTTGGGTGCAACCAGGATGGCTTTAAAAATGAATTTCTCCTGATGAATGTTTTTAATACACAAGGAGCTGTGAATTCCAAATAGCTCAAATTACATACACATATATATATGGAAATTAGTAACTTCAGTTACAGTACTAGTCACAAAAAGGTGATTCTTTTTCTAAGAAAACACCCTGTAAATTAAAAGGAAAAAAAAAAGTGAGCTTTACCCAAATCTGTTATATTGTCTAGATATTAAGACTACCAGAGCATCAAATGGTCAAGTACAAATAAATGTCTTTAGAGGGGATCTGCTATACAAATGATGGTTATGCATCTGTTTTTCAAAGCAATTTAAAGTAATTGATTTTAAGATTTAGGGGAAATTCATAACCTAATCTTCCTTAGATTTGTTTCATGTGGTCTAAGAACATGGTTATATTTATTGCTATTCAATACTGTATTTCTTTCTTTTAAAAGCTTACAACAGGCTTAATTTAGTCCATGTTATTGTTACTGACAACACATTTATCAGAAATAGTACTTACGGTACTTGTGTCAGTAATCTTAATACATATTAATACCTATATGTGCATGTAAAACAATAGTAAAGAAGCAATAGTAAATAAAAAATAGATGAAACTCCAAAATCAAAAGTAACCTATATGTGAGTACGAAATTGTTATGTAGGTTGGAATAAAAAAGACGGTTGTGAAAATTCTGACGTGCACTTTGCTTCTGCAGTCAGTGCCACTGTGTTCAACTGTTTGTTCCACCTCCCATAGCTGTTGGTAAACGGCTACTTGTAGGAACAGCTCAGTCTGAAAACACAAAACTTTATTTTGTTAGCAGAAAGCCCTAAGTTAAAAAGACACTCACTGCCCCAGTGGGTGAACGTATTTACAGGAATTTGAGTGATCCAGAAGCAGTAATTAATTTCTCCACAAAGATGTTCAGCATTTCCAAGGTGATCTTTTACTGCAGATTGTGTAAAATAAGAACAGGAATGTATAGGTCAGTCACTGAAATCACAATTCCTGACAAGAACAAATTTATTTCTGTATCTTTCAAAGAACCAGGAAAGCATATGATAGTTGCAAGGCAGAATGCTGGAAAAAAGACTTCCTCTCCATATACTAGATTGTGTATTTTATGTTGGTATTAAATAGCTTCCTCAGATGGTAAGGCACATTTATCATGAAGGGGCTTTAGCAAATGTCTAACTTCCAGACCCATCAAGTGTGACACTGATGAAACAGTTCATGCTTATGGATTTTATTTTTTTCTAAAATGAATCTGTTCCTACTATTTAGTGCTTTTAATGCATAGGCCTAAGATTTGAAAACAAGTAACTGTCCAATAAAATCTTGTAATACACAGCAGCTTGTAAAAATAGACACAGGTTAGCCTTGGGAAAAATTAAAATCTTCCATCAAGCTTTAAAACAAAAGCAAATTGTCTTTTTTTTTCAAACAAAATGTCTTCTACCTGTCTCAAAGGCCAATTTTTCCTCTCTGCTTCATGACTCCACATACTGGGAAAGCAGGTTGTGCTAACTGCTTATGTGAGGGCAGAGAGAATGACAATGTATAGGAAGCCTGTACCAAATATACTGGAGCATATGGCTAAATAAAATCCACTATTTCCTTTTTTATCTATGGAAGCATTTGTTAGTGCTTATGAAGCACTAATAGCACCGTTGCACTTGTTTCCTGAGGCAGTAAATCCATGCAAACCAAAATTATAGAGACTAAGACTAGTATGTAAAACAAACATCTTCATGATACTGTGAGAGTTTCTGTATATGCTTACCAAAAAAAAAAAAAAATCATAATCGGGTAAGGAAAATAAGATAAATGTGACTATATTTCACTAACTAAATGGAATTAATTACAGATGTTATTTTTACAATATTTAATCTTTTTTTTTTAGTGGGCAGTTGCAATAGTTACACTGAGAGCTATCTGTCTCTGTAAATGTTTTCTTCTCCTTATGGTAAACGCTGTGAAGGACACTAAAACATTTCAAGTCCTCTGGCTTAAAAGGATTTCTAAATGATTGCCGGGGAGCAAGAGTCTGGATGTCGGCAACGCTGCATTTCCCTGCGTTTCTAAATTTACGGCCCTTACGTGTAAACAACTTGGCTGAGACGCCGAATATCCCAGCAGGCCGTGTTAAATAAGCACAGAACGTCTGCCGTGCGATAAAACGCACGGGAAATAGCGTCGCTGTCAGTACGGGCCGCGGGGAGGCCGGGGCACCGGGCCCGGGCCGCTGCGATCACCGGGGATTACCACAGCAAAATGGCGGCCGCGCCGTGCTGCCGCCCTCCGCGGGCCCCGCGCTGCGGCGCGCCTCCTGGGCGCCACGGGCCGCGCGCCGCCGGGAAGATGGCACCTGTCACGTCACAGCGCGCCCGGGCACCCAGCGCGCCGTCCCGCTGAGCCGCTGCTTCCTCCTCCTCCTCCTCCTCCTCCGCCCGGCCAGAGGAAACCCCAGGGGCATGGTTTTAGCCGCCAGGTAGCTCAGAAACAGTGAGTTGTGCTGCATTCGAGCGCGCAGTTGCGTAAGCGTGTTTGTTACTGCTGGGGAAAAATCGTGCTGCAGGTTAATACGCGTTGCTTCCTCGGCTAGAGATTTTAATTTAGTCCAGAGTGCAGTTACTGCCCATAAACAGGAAGTGTCTTCACGTTATCTGCCGCTGACGCGTTGCCAAATGTTTCATGTCTCGAGGGGCTCCGTGTTAAGACAGACAAGTGTCCTGACGTTAACATGTCGCACCAGAAGCTTGTGTTCTATGTAACTTGAGCAGGGCTGCCGGACAGTGGCGTTTGAGCCCTGCAGGGGCAGTTCACGTTTAATGTCGTTGTAAGAGCTTTCATGTCGTATCTTGATTTAATAAGAAAAGGGGATGGGGCTTCTGCTGCGCGCGTCCAGCTCCACCGTGTGGGCGAACGGTGCGAGGGAGCCCCTGCCTGCTTCTGACACCTCCTGCAGCTCCCGGCCTACTCCTGCCCGTGCCAGCCTCCCCCTGCCCATCTCCTGCCTGCCCTCGGGCAGGGTCACTGCCAGACAGGAGGTGGACAAAAGGACGAAACGTTTTGATATCGGAAAGAACCGGATGTGCAGTGGGAAATGTTATGGGGGTTTGCAATTATTTTTAGAGCCAGATCAGTTACGGAGTGCCTTGTCTTTGGGCTGAGATAGGACTTGCTTTGGTTTTTCGAAGTGGAAAACGCTGCGTAAGAAAAAGCACTAGCCTGCTCTAAGTGCCAGTAGGATTTTAAAGGCTGTTTTTCATGTGATGAGAAATGATCACAGTGTAAAACTAGGAAGTGGGAGAAGGAGTTAGGGATGCTAATAATAGGAAAGAATTACAACTCAGAAAGAATGGTTCATCTGGTGGCTTCAGAGGTCTGCTAATATGAACATAGTTGTTAAATTTCACCACCAGCTGTCTCAATTAAAAGTTAGAGGAAACCGTGTGAGGCTAAAAAAAATGCTTTAAAGTCTGTTATGCTTATGAGGCTATAACAAATAGAAAAGGTACGTGTCCTCCATTAACAGGGAAGAATGTGAGCAGTGAGAGTCTAGAAGAGAAAAAATGTAAGTGTACTTGTAGAATCAACATGTCGCTACTAAGGCTGGAGCACTAACCTACATGCCACTGCAAGCTATTAATTGTTAAAACTTCCCTACATGCCCAAGGTTATAAGGAGACTGACAGGAGGCTGGTCGAGGCGCTCCTGTTTAACGATAGTGCCCAGATAGGACTGTGGAAGTGATTCCATAAAAAAACCTGAGCTACCATAGTAAAAATGATGATAGGACGGTAGGTTTCTGGGTGGGCAAGAATTGGGATAGTAGAGCTGGGGGGGATGTGTGTGGAGTGTGTGTACTTGATTTTGTTTGGTTTCTGTTTTGTTTCAGATGTCTAGCCCTTTTTTTGCTCTAGAACAAAATAATGCTCTGCAGGAAGGGGCACTATAGGGCCAGAAACAAAACGGAGATATCCTTCAAAGTATGTTATTAGAGCAGAATGAAACTGAAAAGGTATGAATCTGATACTATAAAAACTATGGAGTGAACATGTTTCCATAGTGTAATGCTCTAAGTACCAGAAAGTATTAGTATCTTTAAAGTCCTAGTAAAAGCAAATTGAATAAGAGAACAGGGAGAACTGTGATTACAGTTTATTAAGTATCTCGCTGGTTTTTATTTTGCCTGGGTACTAGTAACTGGCCCTAAGGGTTCTGGTTTTTTTGTCTGTTAGTGCCACTAGCTTGTATTTAAAATTTAGGTGACTGAAGTGGAATAAAGGAATCTCTTCTCATATGTAAGGGGGTACGCTTGCCTGGCAGTGCATTTCAGGAGTTTAGCAGAAGTTAAAAACAGTATTCCAGTATTCCTAGATTGTAGTGATTATATTTGGTAGTAAAAAAAAAATTGTATTTGTTATATTTGATAGTCATTGACTGGCAAAACTTCCTGTAATCTGTTTACTTCAAAAGAATATTAATATAAAAAATAATAGTAGCTTCATCTGCAGTATCCAAATAGAGTTGGCTGCTATAATATTTACAATTAGTGGTGTCATCTGTGAGGTATTAAGTAGTTGAATTTGTGTTTGGATACATCAGTCTCTGATATTTCCACTAAATTTTAATGTTACTTATTTTCACTTGGCCTGGAGCAGTATTCTGTTGATGTCAGCAGAGGTAACATTATAGTTTAATCAGCCTACTTACCATTCCACTTAAGTTTCATATGAATGTTTAAATCTTATTTCCCAAAGTGATTCAACAAGTTGTCATTAAAAGCTAAGTCTGTTACAGCTTTCATGGAATACCTCCAAATAGTAAGGTAACTCCCAATCAAAAGTTCTGCTGTTCAGAAGCTGATTATTTATAGGTGCACCAAAGACTATTAAGTTATACTACAAAAGTGCTGCTCAGATTCTTAAGAAATTATTTATGTCTTGATTGAGAGTTAAAAGTATCAAAATAACTCACTTTGCGTCCAAAAGGATGGCTTACTAGACTGAAGAGTTTAATGTTTGACCATTAACAGATCAAATGGTATTTACATATGTTTTTGGCAACATTTATAAATAATACTACAATTGCTTCCATAAGTATATTATAAAAAAAAACATACAGAAGAACAGTAACATTCCAATGTACTTTTCAGTGTTTTAATTAAAAAATATGTAATGGTAATGCTAATAATAATACATCTGTAAAATTTGATCTCTGTATCTTGGTCTTAGTAGAGCTCCCTTGGAAACTGAAGAGCAGGTTTTCCTTTTGCAGCATGAACTGCAAATGGAATGTAAAGTATTCCTAAAATATTTCATTTATCTGTATTCTAGGTAGAGCATTTTGATTCTATAGAATTTTAGAGGCATATTTTTCATGAATGCAAGAAACAAGTAAAATAAAAGGTAGTAGAGAATCATTAGACTTATGAATAAATGGACTATTTGGGGAATGCATACATTGAGATAGAGAAGCAAAAAGTGTTGGCTCTGAAAATCAATTTGGTCTGGAATTTTTCTGTATAACTTTCCAATTAGATATATAGCAGATGTTTAGCACACGTAAAAAAAAAAAAAAAATCCAAATAGCAAATGATAGCTTTTGGTACTTTTACACAACGCATCTAGTTTGATGTTTTACAGAGCTTGTCCAAATAACCAGGACTACAAAAACTGGCTATCTATGTACATGCAAGTAGAAACTGAAAATTCACTTTTCCTCTCAGGAGGATAAATTTTGAAATAACTAGTTGAATAAGATGATTTCTACTAAAAACACTTGGGTTTGTAGGCCTTGCTTATAAATGCCTGTTAGTATAGTAGTAGTCTGATACAGTTAGCAAATAGTATGTCAGATGATGTGTCCTTGAACTAAAACCAGCTGTCTCCAATAAAGAAACAGAAAAAACAGAGGAAAGTTCCTGTGGGGCAGTTCACTGGGAGGTAGAGTTGACATAATTTATTTCCTATACTCAGGAAATAACTGTCAATAGCTCCTGTTGTGAAATGTTTTGAAGTCTGACAGTTGGTTTCTAGTACATCACATGAGCAAGTCAGATGTAATCTCAGACATTGTCAGTGAGAAAAAAGAATCAATTATGGGATAGTGGCTGCTTGCCTGAAGAGAAGTGTTCTTTTCAGTATTCTTTCTGTGGAAGACTTGATGTGCTAGAAACTCTACAATTACATATGTGTTTTCAGATACCAAACCTAAATGAGTAACTGTTCCTAATTTCTGTGAATTTCAGGTTATTATTCCAAATTAATATGTCTTATTTTAAGCTAAATAAGTGTAATAAATGATAAACTATAGTAGTAAGATTTAAAGGCACAAAACAATGCAGCTAGATTTACAGCTGCTGTGAGTGACCAGATCATCAAAATAATGCATGTCAGCATTTCTATTGCAGTTATACTGATGAATTAATTTCTTGACATCCATGGTATGTATAAGCATCAGGGGTGTTTTCCATTTTTTGCTTTTTTTTTGTTTGTTAGTTTGTTTTTTGAAACACAGTTTTGATTTTTCTGAATTCTGTGCGTTGGAAAATTTCAGCCATTAAACTGTGTTAGAAATTTTGGCTATTTGCATAGACAAGACCTTCCTGATAGAACTGGTGGCCATGCTGCAAGATACAAATTTTACCTCCAAGATTAATCCATAATGTAACAAATTATGATCTTTTTTTATAGTACATTGTGTTTGTCTTCACAGTAAGGTTGTCAGTTTTTTGTATAATTTGCAGTGAAGTACTTGGTGGATTTGTGGTAAATGTCCAAAATGTAACTAGATTAGCTAGAGCAAGGGTGCATGTCCCAGATTGTTTACTTGGTGATAAAAACCCTCTTTTCAGGAACAGATTACTTCCAAATAGCTTGGAAGGGTGAGAGAGCCAGCATGTTCTAAATGGCCATTGCTGCTTGCTTAGTGAAACCTTTATTTCACCACCAAACCCATCTTCATAAATATATTGGCATTTTTCAGTGGAAATTATTTGAGGATAAAGGTCATCATCAAAATTTTCAAGACTAACACTGAAGTTTGTAGCAGTAGGTGGAATGTTTAGAATGTATTTCTAATTTAGTGGAGCTATGCTGTGGTACTATTTTTACCTGCCTTACAAAGAATCTGTAGTTGGTAATTTTCTTTTAAGTGCGTTTTGATTCCACAGGTTGAAAGAAAAGCGTCTTAAATATGCAGATTTTTTTTAATGTAGTGACTGGTAATTGTCAGTAGGACAACTATGTCTTCCTTATTTAAAGTCAGAAATGGGCAGTAGTAGTTGAAAACATTACTCAGAGATGGGGAAAAAAAGGAACAAACCTCATTATATGGATTACATGGTGCAGTTCTGAATTTGAACAAAAAAAAATCAGCTGGTTAAGTCAGACATTTCCTCCAGATACATATTGTTAAATTCATCCTTTTTTCAGTCTATTTTTCATTCATATTTTACATATTTTATCTCAATTTAAAAAGAAGCTGTATATTCATATAGTAACAGCCCGGCTAATCTAAACATTTTTTTGTCCGCGTTAAACCTCATTATTATAAATTGGCAGGTTTTTTAATGGTATTTACTATTGCAATTAAATCTTATTATTTAGGTAGAAATTAGGAGCACACTATCAAATAACAAAGCATGAGCGCTATAAATCTAAACTATAAGAAAAAACATTCTATTACTTTCTACTTCTTTTACAGAATTTATAAATTGTTACTTACAAATTTTCAAAGTGTAAACTATGTGATGAAATCTAATCACTATTTAAAAATAATATACTGTTTACATTAATTGTGTTATATGTACTCCACTCTTTCTTACAAAATGGTGTTGCTTGTACATTGGTTTGTTTACAGAGCCTTATCCTGTACCAAACTTAATTGCATGGGATCTGTGATCCCTGTTTTAAATATCAGCTTAATAATGAGATTAAATGCAATTGTGTTGTAAAATCATCGTCTGACAAACAGCGCCAGAAAACAAAGTCCTCAGTATCCACAGAACCACAGCAATTCAGCTTTCCTCATAATGTCTTCCAAATAACCTCAACTACATGCTGGGGTAACTACCTCAAGGGTTCAGTGAGTCATTCACTGTGAACCTGAGCAGATGCGCCTGCTGGCACAACAGAAGGAAAGCTGGTGGCAACAGTCCCTAGTGAAAGGCACCAATGGGTGACAGACCCATGTGGGAGCAGAGAAGATCCTCTGCCACCTGCTGAGGAGATACTGGTGTTCCTACATCCTTGATCTGTATATAATTACCTTTAGTATTATTGGCATGAGTGAACCTAAGATGACTTCAAGCTGAAATGCTGTGGTAAATTTTACTCAGAATTTAGTGGTTAATAGATTAAATATATACACAAAATAACAACATAACTATAAACTTCATCTGTAACTGAAATGGTGAAGTACTGAGGCCTAAACAATAGGCCCCGAACCAAAGCTGACCTCTAGGTGAGTGTTACAACCCAGCAATATATATATATAATATGCATAGTATTGATCACATATGCAATGCATTATCTGTCTATTTTAGTATGAATATATATATTTTGAAGGCAATATATAAAAGCTTTGTTGTAATGCTTATTGTGTAATAGTAACCAGCAGAATGATCCTCCTTTATTTAGAGACACGTTGCAAGCCTGTGAAATCAGATGTCTGGCCTTGTTGAGAAATATGTGGTCAAAGCTAAAATAGATGGATACACTCCCTTGGCTCCTCCTCGAGCCGTGGCCTGGCTTGGGCGGAATCCAATGGGGAGGGTGACACCAGATGTTTCCGCACTTGATGTTTTGCAAGATGTTTATTCAACTATATAAAAGCTGGACCCTCTTGCAGGGACTTTGGAGACCTCACCTACGAGTGAATGCAGTGCATAGGACCTCCCACTTCCCGGGACAGGTTCTCCAAATCCTCACTGCAACTGGGGCTCTCCAGTGATTGCGAATCTGGATGATGGTAAAATATAAGGGCAACTGGTGATGTATCTTTCTTAATCACTATAGTTAACCTTATGGAGTAATGATTAGGTGCATTACCCTGCTTATTTTCTTTGCTGCTTAAAACTAGAGTATAATAAGCTTACTGTTTAAGCTGAATGCATTGCTTCATTCCTGTACTGCCTTGACAGAGACAGTGAAGTGGGCCTGCTCCTTTGTTGGCGTCTGTGTCCTTTCTGTTGACCCTGTCAATTGGTAAAACAAATGGATAAAAAATGCCATTTAAATATATATTCCTTGTTTTCTTTGTCTTGTAGATGACAGTCATGTCCCATTCTAAGGATCTCAAGGACGACTTCCACAGTGACACTGTGCTTTCCATTTTAAATGAACAGCGCATTCGGGGCATTTTATGTGATGTCACCATCATTGTGGAAGATACCAAATTTAAAGCCCATAGTAATGTGCTGGCGGCTTCAAGCCTTTACTTTAAAAACATTTTCTGGAGTCGTACTATCTGTATTTCAGGTCATGTTCTGGAGTTAGATGATCTCAAAGCTGAAGTGTTTACAGAAATACTGAATTACATCTACAGTTCCACAGTAGTTGTCAAGAGGCAGGAGACTGTAACAGACCTTGCAGCTGCAGGGAAAAAACTGGGAATATCATTCCTAGAAGATCTTACAGATGTTAATTTTTCAAGCTCCCCATGCCCCTACGCATACTGTGTTAATGAAAAAGGGACTGTCAAAGAGGAAAAACATGAAAAGAGACATGAAGACTCCTCTGTGACAAATGGACCACGCATTACAAATGCATTCTCAATCTTTGAAACAGAAAACAGTTTGTTTTCTCCGCTTGATTTGAGGGCAAGCTTTAAAAAGGCATCTGAGACAATACAAGCTCCCAGCATCAGCCTTGACAGAAGCGATGTCTGCAAAGATGCTGAGCCAGCCAGTACACTGGCTGAACACTCCTATGCAGTTTCTTCTGGGGGAGACACTTTTCAAGGACCACCCTTTCTTGAGCAGGACAGGAGCCCTTCGTACAATGTGGGTGAAGACCACTATGAAAATGTCCAAGCCACACCACTTGTTCAGCCGGGAAAACAAGCATGTAATACTCCTAAAACAGCTTCTAAGCCCCAAGGTACTGCTTTGGCTATAGCAAAAGTACCTGCCTCTACAGTAACCACTACAGAAGCTCAACAAGAAGCAGTTACTGATCAGACAATTACTTCCCTTCCAAAACCTCAGAATAAAGCAGGAGATTTGCATTTATCAAGAGAAGAGGAAAACAATTCTGCTAACGCCTCTGGATCTGTGGCGACTGTCGTTCCGCCCGTTTACAATTGTAACTCTTGTGCAGAATCATTCAATGACAGGGCGTTACTGACTACTCATCTTCAACTCCATTCAGAGCATCAGGAAACTTTAATATGCAAATACTGCAGCAAACAATTTGCAAATCTAAATATACTGGAAAGCCATGAGCAAGTCTGCATGAGATCAAGTGGCTTACCAGTTCATAATGGAAACGAACAAAATTTAGAGGATAACTATACTGCTTCGGATGGAAGGAATGGGAGTTCATATGCAAATGCAGAGCCTCTATTGTCTGAGAACAGCATCACTGATTATTCTAATGCAAACCGCACTTTACCAGAAACAGATCATTTGGTTAAAGTCGTTGATGGGCAGATATTATATACTTGCGTTGTCTGCAAGCGTAGCTATGTAACATTGTCTAGCCTTCGAAGACACGCAAATGTGCATTCATGGAGAAGAACATATCCTTGTCACTACTGCAATAAAGTATTCGCATTAGCTGAGTATCGCACCAGACATGAGATCTGGCACACAGGAGAAAGACGGTATCAGTGCATTTTCTGTCTGGAGACTTTTATGACTTACTATATACTAAAAAATCATCAGAAGTCTTTCCATGCAATTGATCATCGCCTCTCAGTTAATAAAAAGACAGCCAATGGAGGCTTGAAACCAAGTATGTACCCATACAAACTTTATCGACTCTTACCTATGAAATGCAGGCGACTACCTTATAAGTCTTACCGAAATTCTTCATATGAAAATGTTCAAACAAGTAGCCAAGTTAATGAAACTGCTTCTACTAACTGTTTTATTCAGAGTTCTCTTAGCTCTGAGCTACCACCACTGAATTTTCAACATAATATAATAGCAACAAACAGAACTCTTGCCTTGGATACATCTTCATGTAATGATGCAGCAGCTTCCACGAACACTCAGAATTCTTCCTCTTGGGGAGTAGGGATCTTAAATTCTGACCTGCAAAGGGACTTTTTCACAGCTGAAAAAAGAGTTTCCACTGCAGCAAGTGACTCTGCTACTCAGGAGTGTGATTCCTCAGTTGTGTCTTTAACTAATGTGACTGAAAACTCAACCTCTGTCATCAGTTACAGCAGTTCTGCCCCCTCTGTTATAATGCACAGTAGCAGAGTTTCATCAGTTATAATGCACAGTAAAACAATTACTTCTGTAGAAAACAATAAGACACAATCTTCAAATAATCTGCCTAGTCAGTCTGTAAATGATGATTGTAAATATGGGACAGATAATTATGGTAAGTGCATTACAAAATCAAAAACTATTAAGGATAAAAAGAAAACACTGCTGTACAACAGAGCAGAAGCAACTGAGGATTCACAGCACATCACAGGATCTGGAGGGTCATCTAGCAAAACAATAAATACCGTCCAAGAATCAAGTAAGACTGAAACATACATTGCAAAGCCTGCCCTACCTGGAACATCTACTGACAGCAATGTTGCACCTCTTTGCCAAATAACGGTAAAAATTGGTAATGAGGCTATTGTAAAAAGACATATATTAGGATCTAAGCTGTTTTGTAAAAGGGGCCGAAAATCTAAACATGAGTCCAAACAGGACAATCTAAATGAGGAATCAGAAATGGAGGTGAAAGAAAGAAGCCCATCTAGGCTTTATAGCTCAGAATGCCTGGAGCCAACAGAAATGTGTGATGACGTAAGTGACCAGGACTCCAGCGATAAACCCTGGAGACCCTATTATAATTACAAACCAAAAAAGAAATCCAAACAGCTAAGAAAAATGAAAAAGACCAAATGGAGGAAAAAGCATGGAAGCAAGAACACAATTGTGGAAAGCCACAACACAAGCAGTAGAGAATACGCACTCAGGAATGCTCCTGAGGAAAAGGCAGTCAGTCAAGAAGAGAACACAGAAATGCCTAATCTTCCTTGTGAGCTCTGTGAGAGAGATCAGTCTTCCACTGCAGAAAGTCAAGAGCACGTACACTGGCATGGAGCTGCCTCAAAGCCTTACGTTTGTGAATTATGCCAAAAGCAATTTCAAAGTCCATCCACTTTAAAAATGCATATGAGGTGTCACACTGGGGAAAAGCCCTACACTTGCAAAACCTGTGGTAAATGTTTCTCAGTCCTTGGAAATCTACAGAAACATGAACGCATTCACCTGGGTGTCAAAGACTTTGTCTGCCAATACTGTAATAAGGCATTCACTTTAAATGAAACGCTCAAAATACATGAAAGAATTCATACTGGAGAAAAACGCTATCACTGTCAGTTCTGCTTTCAGAGTTTCTTGTACCTTTCTACCAAAAGGAACCATGAGCAAAGGCATGTACGTGAGCATAATGGCAAAGGATATGCTTGCTTTCAGTGCCCCAAAATTTGCAAGACAGCAGCTGCTCTGGGAATGCACCAGAAGAAGCATCTATTCAAAAGTCCAGGTCCACAAGACAGAAAGGAACAGTTTTGCAATGAAAGCACTAAACTTTTGGAAAATCCTCATTTCCTTGGTTCAGAAGGAAGTGAGGTAAAAAATACACAAAATGTAACTCCAGAAGTTATACTCTGAGTGACAGTTGTGAAGAAGAGAAATTCAAAACTATATACTGGAGAAAATATGGATGCATTGAATGGGGAAACATCTCCAGTCAAATTAGTACCATTTACTAAGGTCAAATACTTATCTAAACGTGTCAGTATATGCAAAAGAAAGAAAAATAACAGAAAAGAAAAACTAGTATTTGCAATAATACAAACTTAATATGAAAGGCCCCAAATTCTTTTGCCACAATCAACTTCTAATATATATATATAGAGAAAGAAAATACGACCAACCACAATCCTGCTGCTTAGCATTACAGGACGCTAGTCACGGAACTATTTTACAGTGTTCTTTTTGGGTCAGAATTGTTCTAGGCAAAATAAATATGTAGGTTCACAGTGTACTCTGTAGAAGGAGTTATTGCTGCAGAAACCATATATTGCATTTTTAAACAAAAATTAATATGTTTATAAACAAAGTAATTGTAATCTAGTGTATTCTAAAGTGAACGTGGGAAATGTTTCATGAACTTGGGTATGCTGAAGTACAGTTGAGTTCTGGCGTGCTTTTCTGTAGCTCAACCTTTACAAAACATATTCAGGGGTTTAAACCTCTTTTCCTTTCATTTTTGTATTTACCATAATAACCATTAAGTCTTGAGTGCTTGTGTAGAAAGTATTCCGGATTTATGATATCTCTCAGACATGTAATAAAGATTAAGTAAAACTCACAATAGCCAGTCTTCCAAACTGCATAAATCCCAATATCAGTGGCCTGGTAGAGCTATTCAGGTGCACCTGTCTGAAGAAAATTGCTCTCATGAAACAACCTAGTGAAAAGAAATCCTGTATGTAAGCATCCACCTCCTGGTGGGTCTGCAACTCCTGTCTTTTACAAATGTCATTATTCTTGGCAGAAGAGGAGATTTAGACATTGGACTTCCTCCTCATCCTGGAATAATGCCTGGATAACAAACAACAGAGCAACTCACCATAAATACTTTTATTTTTGGGAAGGGTAGATAGATACTCAGATTCTTGCTTCCATATATATCCCTGAAGCAAACTCTGCGTACGAAAAGGGATAGGGCCAGTTTATGGGGCTTCCTGTCATTCCCATGCCTTAAATACAACATCTCTCTTTCACACATCCTTTCCTGGTTAAATCCCAAACCATGCCTGCACCTGGCTGCAGGCAGGCTCCCTGTCACTGTATCCCTTTGCTCAACAGAGTGGGTGAATAGCGCAGAGGTGCCTGGCATGGGTTGATGGAGGAAGAGAGAGATGTTGGTTCTTCATCCTTCCTCATCCTGCCACACCAAAGGGTTAGCTTCAGAGTTTGCTAAGAATCCAGAGGGTAGGCTTCTGAAAGACATCACTGAAATACTGCAAGTAGTAGTATTTTGTGAAAATGTGATTAACTGCGATTAAAAGATTAAACAAAAAACAACAAAGGGTGTATGTCTAGAAATTGCATTTTATATGATAGGGCTCTGTTGTAATGTACCTGCATTTCCAGTTAGTCATGTATGTTCATCTCTGTGAAGTGTTAAAAAATTAAGTCAGAACAAAGGTTAGTGATCCTCGAATTCATTCTACATGCAGATATGGTACACAGTTTGTTTACTTACTTTGTCTTCTTGAATATTTTAAAAGAAACTATAGGGGTACAATAAAACTACAATTGAAATGGTAATACAGTATTGATTGAAGTAATAATATAGTCCACTTATTTATTCTGTCATTGGTGAATGCTGTGAACCCCGTGAGAAATTCTGGGTTCATGGCAGCTTTGGTTCCATTTAAATAAGGATAATAGAAGAATAAACACAGGAAAGTATGACGATCTTTTAAAGAAAGTACACAGAGATATCTGCAAAGTGGACTTGTATGATGATAATTATAGACCAAAGCAAATAAGGTAGAATATTTATAAATATAAAGATAATTTTACAAATATTTTATATAACTGTATAGTTCATAAGAAAAATATTGATAGCTTGTGTTAGGTTTGGGGGGTTTGTATATTTTGATAAAACCACAATGACTTTGTAACTCTGTATATTCTCTACAGTTTATAGCAAAGGAGTTTTAAGATGGCAATGTCATGTTTATAGTTCAATTGTGGCACTTTTATTACAAGTAACATGTTGCAGTAATGAGTCAAGTATTAATGACCAAATTAGAATTAAAGTAAGCGTAGGAGAAGGTAAACTATATGTTGTCAAAGACTGTCATTTGCTACATAATCACATCTGTATTTTTGTTTAGAAGAAAATATTAAATGCAGATGTTAAGGATTGATAAAGAGTCTAATTTTATTTTTAGAAAGAGTGATTATAACTCTGTTTTTGCTTAATTAAAATAACATCTTCCTCTTTTTCTGCAAGTCTCTCAATTTTTTAAATTGTTAATACTTACATAATCTGTAAGACCCAGAGATATGTATCTCCTAATAGTTATTTCGTTATAAGATTAAGCAACACAGTTACAAAACGCTCCCTTTATTAAGGTTCAAAACAGTGAGTCGAGAACACGCCAAAGCTCAAAGGAAGTGATGGTATCTCTTGGCATCGTACCATTAAAGGTGAATGCAATGCTGAGGTGAACAGAATCTACTGCTGACTTGGAAGACGCATGAACTACGTTTAATACCATACAACATCTTAAATGTGTTTTCATTAGGAACTGAAACTTGCAAAATTCTTTTCTTCTTAATTCTGATAGTAACCTTGCGGTATATATGGTGTATTTTACACACTGTACTTCAGATCTTTTTGGGCTACTGTCAAGAAACAGAGTTCAAAATGCAAACATCTGATTGTAGATGGAAATAGGGAGATAACGTATAAAATAAGAGCTTATACATATTTACGGTACTTCCCCCTTCAGGTAGGTGTCACTACTCTGTAACTTGCATTAAAAAAGAAATGTAAGCTAAATTACACAGATCATTTTGAGGTGGTCTTCAGGAGAGATGTAGAACTAACAAAAAAAATCAGAAGTTTGCTACATTTTTCTCTATTTAAATGATAATTAAAAAGACAGGTGGATCATCTCAGTGTTTGTTCACCTAAACAAAATGTTAGCCAATGGAATGAAAGAACACAACTAAACTACAGGCAGAAGCATCTGAAGTAAGCCACTAAGTGTCATCATCTCTTTTATTTGTTCTAAACTTCCTTAATACAGCAGTTATTACTGATAGTCCAAGACTAGCTGACATAAATGGTTATCTCACAAGAACAAAGACCCCTCTACTTACATCCTTGTTACATAAATCTTTCCACTAAGTTTCCAAGTTAGCACACCAGTGTTTGTCGTACCTGTGTCCTTGGACAGATGTACCTGTCAAGCAGATGCTCTTAAGAGAGCCTGAAAACGAATATTATGCAGTTGGAATGGTATTCTGGATATAGTATGTTAGATTAAGACAAGGCACTTATAAAATGGAAAAAATATGGAGTGTCAGGAACTGGACAACAACTAAACTGAAAGTTGCATTGATAACATTTAGAGGAGGTCTGTGCTTCAAAGGAAGCTGATGCTAAGTTTAAATGGTAAGCTCCAACTGTAACTGTAGCTCTTGAGAGAGTATAGAAGGACTAGAGTCACACCATACAACTTTTAAAATGTTGCAGCCTGCAGTTTAAGCACTCCATTCTCAGAGTGCTGCTCTGCTAAATTTCCTCAGATCAAAGCTTTGACTTGGCCTGGTCAGATTCACCAGCCACTGGTCAGATGGGGGGGGCAGCCAGCCTAGACAGCCAGATGTAGATAATTAAATCCTCAATTTGTCCTGCAGAGGAACCTCTCATTTCCAACAGGTTAAAATTCAGCTAATGCAAACTCATGTCTTTGTACAGATTTGGGTTTGCATGCAAATACACCCATTACTGGTGTTGCAAAGGAGCTTATTCCCCATCAACGCACTGCCCGCCACCTTCAGACATCCCCCAGCCAGTATGTGAAGCATGGGGATGAGGAAGGAGCCTCACCCTTGCTGAAGGAGCACTAAGGGGAGAAGTTGAATGCAGGGAGATGCACCAGTGCCTGACTGTTAGATTATATGGCTTGATGCCATATCATAGTAGCAATAGCAAATTTGTGCAGAGAAATACAAAATGGTCAGAGCATAGGATTTCAGTTAGAGACAAATGACAGGTTCTGGCCTGAAACTTTAAAAGCTTCCCTTCAACAGAAGGACAGACTGAAGAGGGCTTTCTAAGTATAAAGAATCCAGTTCCTCTGCTGCTTTCTAAAACAGCTTTAGCACTACCAGTGGTTTAGGATAGGTCAATCATTAAAGGCTTTCACCAGACTTGTGCCTAGAGGGCCTGGTGGCTGATGCACCCTCAGCATGCACCTGAGTGTCACTGAGATGGATGTGCCACCTGCAGCTGATGGCTGGGGGGATTATGCAGATCTAGGAAAGACCCGCCACTGATGTGGGACTGGGGCAAACTCCACATGTAGGCAAGATCCCCTAGAGTTTCACATTAAGATCTTCAGGAAATGTTGATATAAAATATGATGCAAAAGCCCTTTAATGAAGGCCGTCTGCTGATGCTTAATCTATGTCACCTTTGGGTGTCTCCGCACTGCCCGCTGTGCTGCAGAGGCAGCTTTGGAAGCTGAACCACTTAGTTGTTTTATGGCATTTCTTGTGTGGCTGAGCAGACAACCCGAACGAGGGACAGCACGGAGGTTCATTAGAAGCCATGGAGTGCCTTTCACAGAGACAGGCACTCAGCATGCCAGAAATCAAAGCAACCGGCCCTGTCATTTCAGCCGTTTAATGCAATGAATAGGGTAAATACAAGCTTTTGTCGTGCCCCGCAGCCAGAGCCCTTCTACCCTGCAAAAGGCTCATACAGAACAGGGCAGTCAGGGTTAGCTGCGGAAGCGGCCGAGCGCACTAGGAACGCAGTGAACCGGTGACGGAACACCAACACCCCTCAGCCCCGCCGAGGCTGGCCTCAGAACGCCGCCACGGCAAGGAAGGAACGGCAGCGCAAAGGCCTGCTGGCAGCCGGGCGCCACTGCGCATGCGCACCAGCGCCCCGCGCCCCGCTCCGGTGCTGTGGTGCCCCCCGAGGGCGGCGGCCGGCGGGGGCGGAGCGGCAGCGCGGGGTGGCTCCCGGGCGTGTGGCGGGGCCAAGCCGTTCCCTTCCCCCCGCGGCGCGTTGTACTGCGCAGGCGGCGGCACTGGCGCGATGGCGGCCGGGGACGGCGGCGACGAGGTGCGGGTGCTGCAGAATCTTCGAGGGAAGATCTGTAAGTGCGGTGCCGCGGCCGGGGCTGGCTGTGTTAGAGTTGGGCTGGGCTGGGCAAGCGCTAGGGGCTGCCGCGCTCAGATGCCCGCTCCTGCTGTGGCTCCGCGGCGCGGGCCGCCGCCGCTCCCTCTCCCTTCCTGCGGTGAGGCGGGCGCCTGAGGCCCTGGGGGCGCGGAGGGGGCGGTAGCTCCTCACGGCGGTGCTCCTCGGGCCAGACGATGAGGAGAAGGAACCTCGCGGAGGCCCCGGCCGCGCTCTGGCGGCGCCGGGATGGGGCTTTGTGGCGGGCGCGGCCGGCACGTGCTAGAGGGGCCGGGCCGGGGTCTGCGCGGCGCCGCACCGGGCGGGCGGGAGGGAGGTGTGGAGCAGGGATGAGGGAGGGATGAAGGGATGTGGCGGGGCCGTTGGAGCCCCGGAGTGGCCGGGAAGCATCCGTTGCTCCGAGGTTTTCCTTGAGCGAGCAGAAATGCCCCCTCCCGCCCGAACCTCGGGCCTCGGAGTGTGTTTGTCAAGCAGAAATTGCAAAATTATTGATGTGCAGGAAGTTGGTGGTAGAGGGCTGTTCTGGAAACGGTCATTAATGCTTCTGTTTCTTTGTGTAGCGTGTGTGCGAGTGAGAGAGAGGCTGATGACTTTATTTTGGTGGTTAGGAAGTGCTGACTAAAAATGCCTATGCGTTCAGTAACGTGGGAAACCGAAGGATGAGCTGGGGAGGAGAGGCCGGGGAGGAAAACAGATAGCGTGGTGCGGCTCAGCTCGGGAGGACTTCAAAGCGAGTAGGAGAAACAGGATGTGCAGTGGCTTCCTGAAGGGGTATCGAAATACATTCATACAATTCAGATGCAACCCATATATTTCCTTTCTCACACAGCCGATCGACTTTTTTGAGAATGAAGTGAGGCATCTTGAATTGGGCATGGTGCTGTGATTAAGAACCGGTTGTGAAAATCTGATGAAGGTTTGGTGGAGGAATGGAATCACGTTCACTTAAACATCATCATGCAGTATAGACTTGAATATGTCTTCAGTAAATAGAAGACTAGGTCATGAGAACAGGAGACATAAGGTATAGCTGGAGGTGCTCTCTCTCCATAGCCGTAGAGTTATTGCTGGCTGAGTACACAAGGCTAAGCATACGGAGATCTTGTGTTGTTAGCAATTATCACAGAAATAGTATGTCAGCTTACCGTTAAAAGGGATACAGTTAGTTTTGGGGCTGAGGCATTAATTCCTGAAACTGATTTATTTGACGCCATTCTGCTTCCTTTTATCAGAAGGTGTTTTTTTTTGTTTGCTTGTTGTTTTTTTTTCAACACTGGACAACACAGCTTTCCAGAAGTTCTGCATTTTGTCGTACTTGAACCTGATAAAAGTTTTCCATTAAACATTAAAAAACAATCCAAAATGTCTCGAGACTTAAGTAGAAAATAGTTTTATTGTCCCGTTTAAGTGGTCTGCATTGAGTCTGAAGTTGTATCATAACTTCAAATATTTGGTTACCTGCAAAAGTAATTCCTAGGGAATACATAAAAGGTTGGTTGCCAAAGATGGACCTGTAAGAACTGCAGGAGCCTGTTTGGAAATTGAGTGGAAGTAATAGCTGCAATAAAAGATGTGTCTTGAAACAGTGTGAAAATCGCTTTGTAAACCTATTTGTTTCTTCTAACAAAACAATAACACTGTTTACAAAAAAAAGATGCAAGTTAAATATGCTGTGGAAGTTTGTGAACCCTCCAATCCCTAGATGCTCTTTTGGCTTCTTTGCACAGCTAATACTGTTTTAAGTTTCGCTTCTTGCTATTATTTTACTAAAGCATTTTTTTAGGAGAAAGCACTGTGAATGAGCAATATAAATGAATTTAATAATGTAATCCCTCTAGATCTGGAAGGAGTGACAGTAACAGACCTCATTTTGGAAAGTTGATGTTCATAGTCTGTAAGAATTCCTTGTAACATGTATCTTAAAAGAGGGAATACATTTTGGTGCCAAAGCTTTGCTTCCATTTAAACTATTACAAGACTTTGGACACTGACAATTTTGTATATGTTGCATGACAGTGTGGTAGTTTTAACTAAGTAATGTCAGTTCTGTAATTCTACGACACCATCTGCAGCGAGTTCTTTTTTATACTGTTTTTTTACAATACACAAATAGATGGTATAATCTAAAGTTAGCGATATTATACAGATCATCACAACAGATACAGAATTGAGGCATATATTTAAAGGTGGTGAAAAAACAGAGCAGGGACATCTTTGTAATCCATGGCACTCTGTTTTGTGAGGTATGAGTGTTTGCAGCCAGTCTCCTGCATCCGATTTTCAAGCAAGAGGTAAGGTGAACTAGTCTTAACAGTTTAAGACCGTATAATTCTATTTAAAAAAAAAATTAAATTTTAAAATTTAAAATTTAAATTTAAATGCAGTATTACACTTTAGCAGGTTTCCACTGCTTTCCACTGAAGGTCTGTCTGTAATTAGTAACAGCTGTCTTGTATAGGTGGCTCTGTATTTTGCATCATAGTAATGACAGAAGCACTTTACAAAGGTACGTGAATATCACGTAGTTTTAGGCATAGGTTATAGTGTAGCTCTTTAAACTGTGTAATTATCATTTCATGATATCCAGTAGTACAGTTTTAGGTGATGTTAATTGCTTTGATTTTTGGTGTGTTAACTGAAACTTGTTTTAGTGGAGCACTTTGAAAATGTCTCTCTTGTGTCCTAGAACTCATTTGGCAAAATTCAGGATGTGTTCCTTTCCACACTTCTTGCACTGAGTTGTTAATGCTGCTTGGTTCTGATTATGCTGCATTCCTGGAGTGGCTTTAATTGTTGCTGTATAATGTTTAGTCCTGTGAAGTTAATACTTTGTGTGCATAAACATCTTCTAAATTTCTTTGTTCTGGGTACCTATCAGAGGATGTACGCTAATTGTGCACTTTGACTTGACAGAGCATATTGTGAATAGTATTTCTCTATCCCACCACCTGCTTTTAGCTTATGCACTGTTTAACAGTGAACAAGCTTGAACTTGATGTTTTTATGTGGTATCTACATTTAACAGATGCTGTGCAGGCAAGGGAATTTTACAGAGCTGTTGAATTTGGTAGGTTGCTCCATTGCTGTTTATAACAGCTCTGTTATAATATTTAATTTGGAGAGTTTGAATTTAATAGATGTTGTACAGCTAAATTCCTGTTGCTGTAACACTTGAGATTTTTAGCACTGAGCTTTTCCCTTTTGCTCAGGTTTGATCTAACCTTGTTTTGAAGTGAGGATATGCATAGAGAACCTAAACAATATTTTCTAAATATTTTAAAATCCAAACATATACATATCATTGGCCAAAGTGAAGGTTTGTTTTTTTTTTAATTAGATTTTTTTTTTCTGTTTTCCCTGAGTAGCTGAGTGGCAATAAAGAAAGCTTAAAAGTCAAGTAACTAACAGCAATTGTAAACTTCTGTCTTTAAAAAATAAAAAGGTTAATGTTTGTTTAGTGATGCGTTTCAGGGTTCCCTGATGAATTAGGCTACTACACATGTCATGTGAAAATAATTTCTGGTTTAAGTTAGTCCCATGACAGAAAATGGTGAATTTATATGGTCAGTACATAATAGATAAATCTTTTATTGCTGCTGTTTCATCACTTGCACATTTCGCCATTTGAACTGCAGGTTTGGGCATTACACTGTATGGTTTTAAATGACAGCCACTGTGAAGAGGCTTGAAATATAGGTCCACAGTTAGATCTGAAATTGGTTTAATTTCTCCCCAAAATAGTATTATTTGCTTTATAGGTCATACTACCTACACTTTCTAAACAAACCCTTGGAAAACACTGGTATACATTTTCTAATATGTTTCTCGTACTTCTTACCTTTTTCCTTTGCATCCTTTGGGCAGTGAAACGTCTTCAGAATTGCATACTTGATAAATGCACTGAAAATCTAAACATTCCAGCAGATACCTTGTGTTCATACTTCATTTTTGTGTGGGCATTGTAGCCATAGTTTTTTGAGAAAAAGTAACCAAAGTGTAACCAAAGACTTGTAAGTTATATCTGGGAGTTGCTTCCTGCCCCTTTTTTTAATTTTTAAGGAAATAATCTTGAAAGAGTTGGAGCAGTGTATGGCTGAAAAGTCCCACAATCACAGGTATCAAGAGGTGTTTGAAAGGATGTTAAATCTCATGATCTGTACTTCACCTGATAAGTGCCCTGAGGTTATTTTTAACACAACTTTGGGAATCATCCCCCCCAACTCTCAAAAACGTCAATAAATTTGTCTGTGCCTTAAACACTTGGGCTACAAAATAAAGGTTTTTATCTGATTAGGAAACCAAAACTTCTATTTTTTTACTATTTCTTTGGGTGGAAAGTTTCTTTTAATACTGTAGGATTTCAGTGTAGTAGACTTCAAAATTGTGAATTATGTAGGAATATTTAATTTTTACTCTTAAGAAAACATGAAATGACCATAATTATAATTTCCTTTCAAAGTCCACTTTACAGTGCCAACTACGTAATGTTGTATCTTGAATATTTTATGTAAAAAATAGGATGGTGAAGCTACAGAGTATTAGCTAAAAATAAGGATTCTTATCAGGAACAACTGACCTACAGTTCATGCTTGTTAAATACAAACTACAGTATATCAGAAGCTCTCTGAGGGTTACTAGCCTCTTTCATGAATTTATTTTTGTATTTTCTTTCATAGGTTTTATTAAAATAGCTGCCTTTTTATAATTTTTTTTCTTAAGGCAGTGCTCAGTCATTGATGCTGTTCTTGGTTCTTCTGCAGTATCTCATTTAAGGGAACTTTGAGTTTAGTCTCTTTTTGGAGTCTAGTGGCATTAAAAACTGGTTCTGTTCATGACTCTCAGTCTGTCAACATTAAGTGTGGTATTTAAGAAGTAATATGTGTACTTCCTCCTCTCCCACACCCAAGTTGATGAAAAGCTCATTGATGCTTCTGAGAGCACAAGTTTTAACTGTGGAAGTTACTGAAGAGTCTGTTCACGCTTTCCATCACTGTATGTATCCCTGACCTGGAAAACATTATGCATGAAGTTCAGTCTCTCTTCCTGTTAAACTGTCACACTTGCAGCTCTGATACCATTATGGTAGCCTTTCCCATACCAGATATTACTTATTTAACTTTCAAGGCTGTAATAATCTATTTGCCAGAGGGGGAGAAAACAAAGTTCTGGTTTTACATGTTAACAGAACAGACAATAAAGCTTATTCCTCAGTCAGTTCTTCGTATTGGCAATTTTTAAAAAAGAATCTTGTGTATGATGCTTCGCATCTAGTTTCAGGCTGTGGTCTTTGAAAGTTGAGGCGATACATTATTCAGACATGGTAAGTAATTAAAACTCAATACTTTGATGTAGTCTTCATCCTGTTACTTCTAATACCTTATGTAAAGTTTAGATTCCCATTTCATTGGGAAAGGTATTTCTACTAACAAGTAATAATGAATGCTACTGTAAAGGGCCCTGGTTAAGACCTAATAGATAATACAATTCTGATTGCCTGTGTTTAAGATAACAAAGTGCAACAGGGGCAGAGAGTGACTACTCAGTGATTAGGATCCTCTCATGAGAGAGTGCCAGAAAAAGCTTGCCTTGTTTCTTTTAGCAGAATAAAAGGTGAAGAGGGTCTATCTGCTCTCAAGAGAAATTCATAGGGGAAGGAAACACCCAGAGGTGGGGGACAGGGGATGGACACACGACTAACTGTTTAGGCTGAAGGACAGTGTTGCCATAAATAAATACAGGTGTCTGTGGCATTCAGGTTTTGGAAGACCTTTTCAATTTGAGCACTGGGAACTGTTTTTTGCTGTATCTACACAGAAGTAACCATTTCCGGAAAGGGCTGCCTGATATCTGATGTGTGTTATTACAGTGGTCTAGACCCAATACCCAGCAGATCTTTGTACTCCTGTGTTGACAGTCATCCTGTCTCATTAGAAACTTCCTTTTCCACTTCTTATCCATGTTGCATTTAGTCAGTGGGTGATTTTTTTTTTAAATTTTTTTTTTCCCCTCTTCCTACTATGCAATAAAGACTTTATGGGTAAGTTCTTATTAATCAGCTTCCTTTAGCTAAAGTATTTGCAGAGAAAATACCAAGTGAACAATAGCTTAGCTAGATCATGTCTTGGTATTATGACCTAATGCCGTATTACCTCAGGCTGCGAGCTTCTTGGATTTAGCAAGCTACACAGGGTCAAGCCCAGATGAGACCTCTCAAGGGAAAGTGCAGGTGCTGCAGGAAGTGGTGTTCATGAGTCAGTGTGCTGTCCTCTTCCTGTCTACTCTCCTTCCACGTGAGGTTGGGTGTAGCAATTTCTGTACGCTGTTGGATCTTAGGAATTGAAAGTTAATGTGGAAATGCATGCTAATTGAATGGGAAAGTTAATTTTGGACACACTGTAAAATTCTTGTGGCTAATACTGTGTGGGTTCCCCCCTCCCCAAAATATTTACAGTAAATTTTTTATTTACAGATGACGCCAAACACTTGGTACCCAACAAAATGAGAGACTTTTTCTGTACCATAAACTTGGACCAAGAAGAAGTTTTCCGTACACAAGTAGTTGAAAAATCTTTAAGGTAAGCTTAACTTCTAAATGGAGATGATAAGCAAGGCTGCCTCAGTTCAAAATAAAATTAAGATATGTATCAACATGCATGAGCTTTTGCTTGTATCACAAAAGAATGAGAGCTGACTTGTGGCAACTACTCAGCAACGTTACAGCAAGTGTAAATCATGACAGTAGTTGAAAGGAGACAAAACTGAGGCTTGTGAGTAGTACAGTGCTTATAAAATGAAGCATGCTTATTTCACTATTGATATATTCTGTTCTACTGAGCAGTGTAACATTCTTTTTCTTGCCAAGTTGTTTTCAAGGGAAAGATACTTGGTTGCTCTTCATGCCATTTCCTACTTCTGACATGCACTTGGTCTACATTGGTGGAATTCTGCTTCTAGTGTCTGTCTTGTAAAACCTGTTTCTAGAATAAAGGAACCAGATCTTTTCCATGTATTACAGTTGTGTGTGCTGTGGGATTTCCCTCTGAATAGGCCTCATTCTCTCCTGAAATTCTTGTTTTGGGAACTGTAACCAGTACTGACACAGAATGGCTTGCTTTGTCTTCCTGAGCTGCACTTAGCTGTAGGTTCTGCTGCTATCTTACAGCCTTACAAGTGGTCAAAGAAGTCATAACATAGCTGCAGTGTGTGGTTTCATGTCTCAGAATTCTTCAGTTCACTGGTGACCCACGCTGAAACATTGTTGTAACTGCATTGTTCAGAATATCCGAGTGACAGTTTCAGTTATTGGGAAGAGACATTAAACCTTCCTCTTTAAATCCAGAAAGCCTGTTCAAACTCTTAAAAAGTTTTCGTTTCCAGGGGTTTTCTTAGTGTTTGTTCTTTGAGCTGTCTCACTAGATGTTTCCAGGTGAGGAGCAGCATACTGCTCATGTAGCACATTCAAATAGGGAATTTTTCTTTTTCAGAACGTTGTTTTAGATGCCTTCTTAGGCTTCTGTATGAAAAGCAAGCACCATGTACATGCAATCAGGAGCAGCTACTTGCTCATACTCCCAATTTGTAATTGCTGTAGTCAGATCCAAAAATCTAATGCAAAAATCAGATGCAAAAATCTAACTGGCTGCAGTTAAGATTGAGTTTGTTTTGGTAATCAACTGAGTAATCCTTCAGAGAAAAATGTTAAAAAGACTGTATTGATAAAGCAGATACTTAACATTTCCCCTTTGAGTAGACAGTAGTTGGATGGGTATAAGGGAGCCCAGTGTATCATTTAAAAAGGACTTTGCCATCATTTTTTTGACATGTTAATAATTGAAACCCTAAAAGTTACTACTGTGCTTGGAAGCAATACCTGTTACATTTAATGTTTATTCTGTGTTTATGCAGACATTATTATGTTCTGTTTAAGAGTTGTATACTTCAATCACCTGATAATAGAAGTATCAATTGCATAGTAAAACATTTGATATCATAACATTGATATTTGATTTGACATCAAAACATTTAAAAATAGTACCTAAGTTTTAACTGAAATTTAATTAAATGAAAACAATGCCATTAATACTTTACAGAGGAAGAAAAATTTCACTATAAAAAACCCAGCAGTTTTGGGGGGGATGCCTCAAGTGACACACATACGTCAGCCTCAAATAGAAAATTTTTCAGGTGGTATGAAATTAATATTTCTAAGTTGAAAACATTTTATTAGGAGTCAGAAGTCAGTGTTCTGGATCACTCCTTGCTTGTAGATGCCTTGCTGTCTCCACTCACTGCATAGGGAGCTCCATCGTCTGAATTATGTCTCCATTAAGTTAGATTCACAGCATGCATAGGGTTCCATACAAACTGATGAAATGAAATGTAATAAAACAAGTTATCCTCTATTAGCAGCAACCAGATTGGGTGCTTACATTTGATTACTAGTGTGTATGCAGTTATGAAGGCTGGCACTTGTTCCAGAAACTTAATTATACCATCTTGTTGCTTATTAATGTGTTCAACTGGAATACTGTACTAACCTACAGGTACTGGAAGGGAAGATGAAAGCTATAATCTCTTATTAGTTTGAGAACTTGGTAAATTGCTTTTCAGCAAGATACAGTACAGTATAATTTTAGTCATAAATACAACTTTGAATTTGTTTTGTCTTATATTATTTGCTTACATTTTCTTACACACATAATCACAGTCTGGTTTTGTCAGTGCATTCTGGGTTGCAAATTTATACTAGCTGTAATCTAAGTTGTATCCTATGAATATCCATTAGATAAACATCTGTGGAAGTAACTATCACTAGAATTAAAATAGTGTTTGTCTACAGTGACTTAAAATTAATGAAGAAATGAATTTTTAAAATGTGCAAGTAGGATTTGGCTTCTGCCAGCACTGTGACTATTTCAGTGCGGATGCGAAGCAAATGTCTTTTCGAAGTTTGAAAAACATGAATCAATACTGAAGTGAAAGAAGGATATTTTGACTAATGGCTCAATAAATATTTCCTGACACAGTGTGGGATTTCTGTGGGTTCTGAAGAAAGAAATTTTTTTTTCACCCTTGGAAAATTTAAAGAACAGCTGTGAGGCTCCTGAAATTTCCATGGTCAGATATGAGGAACTGGGGAGGGGTTGTGGTGTGTGTGTTTCATTTATTATTATTATTATTATTATAACTAAATTCAGTTTCTTTTCTTTTTTTCTTTTTTTTTTTTCCAAATGACTTTGTGTGAAAGAAAGGTCATAGCAAACTTCTTTTGTTGATGTAACTGTTGCATTTATCAAATGACAGATCTAGGGTCATTGTTCAGTTTCTGTTATAGAAGTGCCAGTTTAACAAGGAAAGGAAGAACAGTGTGTCACACATTTAAATTTAATCTCCTGTATTACTGTAATCCAGTTCTTCCTGAATGACAATCTGGTTTTCCTTTGAATTAGCACTATCTTCTAATTTTGTATCCGTCAGTCTTTAAAATTCTTACATCAAAGTCACAAATGAAGGTACTAAACTAACTGAATCCCTGAGGAACAGGTTGAATAAGTTCTCCATTTTAATTATTCCTCGTTGGTATAACATATTGTACCCCTTCATCCAGTTCTGTATCCACCTTAAAATTTTCTTATAAATTGTTTGTATTTTCCACCTTAAATTTTATCTCTGCCTGGTATTTGCTAAAGAATAATCAACAACTGATTCATAAGGCAGTGGTGTTAATCTAGATAAGGAAAAACGTGTCAATGTGAATAAAGCAATGCATTATATTCTGGTTATACTTGTGCTACTGACCTGCTCCTTGTTGCCAAATCTGAGACTTCGTGTGATGTTGAGGTTAAAATGATTGCTAGTGGCCGATCACTCTTTCGGGGGGGGGGGGGGGGGGGGCGGGGTGGGAATATAGTGGTGAAAGTAGCTCACTTCAGCAGTAGATCTAGCTGCTAAATAGGTTTTTGGAAGTCTCTGCTAGTAGTCTCCAACCCAGACTATATATCTGATTATAATAAGATAAACAGTTACATAGATACAACAAGAATAGGGACTTAACACTGAGCAATACACAATTGCTGATGTACGTTGTAGCCTAGTGTTCTTCTTAGGATGTCTGACAGGCTGAATTAGTAGCAGTATCTCCTTGATACCAGTGCCAGTAAGTTCACCCACAGTTCACTCTTTTTGCTGTAGTATCCGTTTACACTGGTGCAACAAATACTGTAGCTATTAGAGGATCCATATCACGGAATTGACCTAAGTTTAAAATAATCCTTTGTTTCATCTTTTTTGGTCCAAGTTGTTGTGTCAGTACAATTAAAATGAGTGGCAGAGGTAATAAGGAAATTAAGGCTGCTTAGGGTTGCAGTGCTGCTAAAGGTAGCGCTCATGAATTTATACCTTTAGCACTGATGCTGGCAAGAACGCAGCTCTCGAAATCAAAGCTGAATTTGTCAGCTTTGAAATAATTAAAAAAAAAGCAAGGAGCTGAAAAAACAAATTTTTCATCTGAGAATTCTTGAACTATTTCACGGTGTAGTGCAAAAGCTGATTTGTCTGCTTTGAAACCTAAGGTAAAAGGTCTGTTTGAACAAAGGAACAATTTCACTTGTGAAATTCCTCATAACGAATTCCTGCAGTTTAAACTTCCTGTTTCTCAGTATCAGTTCCAGAAATTTGGAATAACAGATTTTTCACCTGTGTCCTTGCCCACTTTTAAAGCTAGTTATCAGCTCCTCCCTTATTTTTAACTTAATACCATTGGTCCTTAAGCATTTGGTGCTTTTTCTGTAACTGTTTGGAGGGAAAAGATTAGGAATGATATCTTATTTGTCCCGATATCCGTTTAGGTAGGCAGTAATATGAACTGATTGTTCCAAACGTAAGCATGTTTGTATTAGTTTAATAAAGTATTATAACAATACAGTGTCAGAAAGGGAATTTACTGGGAAAGAAAAAAAAAAAAAACCCCAAACCTAAGCCCCAAATCTGTGTCTGGGTTTGGTAGAACTGTCATCACAATACTTTTCTGTAGAAAGAAAGTGGAGGTTAAAATTAGTTTTGTGAAGCTGAACACCTTTTCCTGATGATGTTAACGCATTGTCATTGAAAGTATTGTAAATCTTTAAGAATCCAGTAGTTCCAAAATAACAGTGTTGGTGTATTTTTTTGTGGATGCATTTGATTTTCAGAATTCACAGCTTGCAGTCACAGAAATAACAGTGGCTTTGTTTGAAATGCAGCATTCTGGCTATTGCCTATGATCACATCAATAAGTATTCCTTAAGTTTAATGAAAACATAAATTCCTTGAGTGAAAATACTAACCTATTGTGTGAAATATGTCTAACATAGACATATTTTGGGGTCTAAAAAGATCCAGAGTCTTTTTTATGTAAAGGGCTTTGCAGATGGAGATTAATATTTATTTTTTCCACTTTTCTGTTTTATAGTTCCTGATGCTTCTTTTTGCAGGTCTGAATCTTTGGCATCAAATTTGACACAGAAGTTACAGCTAAACAAATGTCAGTTAGTGAAGTAATTAATAAGTCATGTTTCAAAGTAACTTAATCATGTACTGAATGAAAAGGAAACCCAAAACTTGTGAGAGTCTCAGGAAGTCATTTGGGGTGGTAGAGAACCAAATAGAAAAAATTCAAGGCAGAAAAATAGAACTGAAATTTCAGAGGAAATGGCACTTTCTTTGTATGTGCTCTGATTTTTTTTTTTTTAATTCTTTTTTTCCTCTGTTTTGAATATATGTAAGGCATTCTCAGGAACTTTTAACTTGTGGTGCTATTTTATGTTATTGTAATGAAATGGTTGTGGATGCCTTTGATGATAGGTAGAGTATACCGATGAAGGCCAGAGTCTAGGATTGCAGCAAAAATGCAGCATTTTAATGTTCGTCTTCTGTGTAAATTGCATAAAGTGTTTTTCTATTTTAACTTTCAGTCTTTCTTTTCAGCCCATATTTTGGGGAAGAGTTTTACTTTGAGATTCCAAGAACATTCCAGTGGTTGTCCTTCTACATTTATGATAAAAGTGTTTTACAAAAAGACCTGCGTATAGGTAAGTTCTGGAATAGTGCCAACATATTTTGTGACATTTTCTTATTTTCAGTATCATTATCTATAGTATTAAGGATACAGTTATTGAAGCGATGCATTTTTCAAAGCAGTTTATGGTGCTCTTAAACTAAATGTTCCTTTAAAGTTTGAAAAGCAGGATTTTTTTGTTTCCTTGTTTTATTATACTGAAATATATTTATTTTTTTAGGCTAATCAGACATTTTATATTCTTAAAATTATACTCTCAATACATTTTTTTAAATATATATTTTTTTCCTTTGCTTCTGTTTCAGTGGAATATTTGCATGATTGTCACTACTTGTAGGACTTTAGAGAGTAAATTGTGGAATGATTCCACAGTAATTGCAATTGTGGAGAAATTCTATTTATAGATTTTACTCTTATTCTCTCAAAGCATTTTGCAGCAACTTACGTAGCTTAAGTGAAAAATTACAGGAGGTGGATTTCCCCTCTTCTCCCCCACCCCAGCATAATGGGTCTGTTGCAGCTGCTGTGTGGATATTGTTGCTGTTAAAGTCTAACAGTCTGCTGTGGAAGTCGTCTTCATATTACTTGAATTGAGGAAGGAAATAATTTGCACCAGGATGCCAGATAATTTAGTATAATGATAGCTTTCCAAATAGCAATCAGAAGCGTAAAAGGCATCTACTTCCAGTTTTCTATTTAAACATTCTTCAGCAGGATTACTGTTCTCTCACATCTTCATTGTGTTATTTCCAGCTACAAGCATGCTCTTTATTTTACCTAATCCTGTTATTAGTGATGTCCAAATAACACATGGTAATTACTTTAATTGGGCTCTATATAAAGTATTTTTATGCTTTACTTATGCTTCATGTTTCTTAAGCTTTTCATGTGGCAGTAGTAGCTTAAAAAAGTTTAAAATAAAAAATCAGACTTCAAATCCATTTAAATATTTGTCCTATTCAGGTGAATGTGATGTTTATGCTTATCTCTCCCCTCCCCTAGGAAAGGTGTCAATCAAAAAAGAAGATTTATGCAAATACACAGGAAAAGAGAACTGGTTTATGCTTCAACCTGTTGATTCTAATTCAGAAGTTCAGGTAAGTATTAAATAGCACATTTATATTTTAAAAAATTAGAGAAGTGCGTGTAAAGGTAGAAGTTTCTCATGAGCTGTAGCAGATAGATGTTAGCATTTGTGTAATTCTCATGAGACAGTTGTGTTTTTCAGCTTGATTAGAGAATGATGCATATTCTACACTTCTAAACTGGCTGTATTGTTCCTTATGATACTTAAAACTGGCAGAAGACTTGAAGCAACTGTTGAGGAAATGACATAACAGTATTTTGATGTCTAAAATCTTTGCAAGAGGAGCTATTTACTTGAGACAGGTGAATAATTTAGGAAACTACTGACTCTTTTGGCAGTTGTTAGTTAGTTTGGTGTTATGTGAAATAATGACAGATTATATGACTTAAAATGCTTAAGGTCACCAAAAATGGAGGTACTTGTGCTCATTTCATTTTGAAATACTTTCTGTGTTCATTATCAAATAACTTGCACTTGGGAGTTTTAATTTGGTCTGTGGCTCAAGTCCTTCTGACAGGATTGTTCCAATAATACATAAAAGTGAGATGGCTCTAGAAGTTGCAGTATTCTTTTTGGTTTGAGGAAGAAAACAGAATACAATATTATTGAGAAACTCTCTGAATATTCTAGAAAGTCCATTCCACATATAAACTGAGGTGCAGTTCCTGCTTTGACTTAAATATTGTCATGCTTGCTATGTTTTTTTTTCTGTTATAAAAATGTATTGAATGATACTTTATGTCATAATACTATGCAAGTATGCTTGAAAATTCAATTATAATCTTCCATTAATAGAATTCAGCTATTTCTTACATATTAGAAATAAGTTCTTTATATTCCATGGCCTTGTAGCTCTCAGTGGAAGGTTAACTCTTACTGATACTTTTCTATGGCTGTGACATGTGTAAGGCACTCTCCTGCATGACACTTCCATTAAAAGATGACTTTTTCTGCTAAGGTGTGTGGTCCTCATGTTAGTCTTCTTTGACTTAGGGCGTTTGGGTAGGTTTCTGCTCTGTCCTGCTTCCTTTTTTCCATGAAATTTGTAACAGCAGAGCTGAGACCACTTCCCATCTGCCAGATGTTGCTGAAATCAAGTTGGTTTCAACGTTTGGTCTCATGTACCATACCATACTGAAAGGTATTCCTAGGAGATTGCCAAGGTTATTGGTGGACATAGCTGAAAATAGATGGCTTTTTCACAGAAAAGCTGCACAAGAGTTTATAAAGCTAGGTAATAGTTTTGGGAAAAAAACATGGGGAAAAAATAGTTTTCAGATGTGCTCTTCTCCTTATCATGCCATACATATAATTGACATTTTTTCCTCCAGTTCCCTTCATATGAGTATTTTCCAGACTTTATAATGGGTGCAAGGCAAGAGGATGGCTTCTATACATATTTTGTGTTCTTTGACTATATGCTGGACACACTGCAGTTTGCTTGGTTTGGGTTTTGGTTTTTTGTTTGTTTATTTTTCTTAAATCTTCATTTGTTTCAAGAAAACTGTACTTTCTGTGTACTGGTGATTTGTTTTTATACAGGCTGCCTTTGGTATAATGAACAGCCTGTATATCAAGTACATTGATGGTAGAGGTGCATATTGAATATTGTGGCTTGTAGTTGTACAAAATCCATACCAAGCTGTAAGTGTATGAGAATGGCTGATTTCTCCTCATGCTTTTAACAAAAACCAGACTGTACAACCATGTTTATAACCTGGTTGCATTTTATGTCAAAAGTTGTGATACAGATCTGCAGATCAGCCGCTTCTGGAAATAATCGTACTGCTCTCAACAAACAATACAACAGAAATGTACCTCAAACTCTTCATATGTGTCAGGCAAATACTTACTTAGAGCCGTGTTACTGTAGTCAGCATGGTGCTGAATTTTGAACAAACTCCATCTACAAATATTTTTCGAGAGCAGTAAAATAGCTATTTTACTCCTACTGATCAGTGTAGAACACCCAATTTGTGTTTTATTTGTTTTGGTTTTTTTTTTAAAGCAAAAAGTTGCTGTTTAGGCCATTCATGAGGTCTGACTACTAAAAGTAGTTAAGTCAGCTATTACAATAAATACTACTTATGTCTTTTCATTTGTCATTCAAGAACTTTGCCTTGTAAGGCTGTTGGCATGCTTCTCAGTATCCTGTTTTTATCCTGTAAATCTATTTTTGTAATTGAGTTTCTCTACTTGACAAATACTTTCTTAATGTATCTGTGTTCCAATCCATGTAGTAACAGTTTGCAAAACACTTGGCAGGCGTCCCAAAATAGTTACGTTTAAAACTTCCTTATAAAAGAAACTTGATTTCTCCTCCCATGTGACATACAGAGAAAGAAACACAGCCCTTGCCCCAGGGGATTTACAATAAAAACATTGCAGTTTTATGTCAAAATGTAGGTGCTATAGAAATGTGTGCAAGGTCAGCTAAGTTTTACTTCCATTTTAGTGCTGTACAGCAAAACTGCAGTTCAGATTGTAGCTTGCTTCCTTTGCCACATACTAAAATTACCTTCCAGGTCCATTTCCTAAGAATCATAATAGTGGTCAGACCAGTGTCATTCGATGTTCCCTTTAGTAAACAGACAAACGGACAGATTACAAGAATATGAAAGAGAACATGGTTTAGAGGAAAGACTTTGTCAGTGTCTGGTTACCTTAATTGTGAAAGCTAGCACAAATTGCCATGCACTGAAATGAGCAACAGTATTGTTCAGACAGTATATGTTTGTTGTAAGGGTATGGTACCTAATTTTGGTAATTTCAAGAAAATTCCATATCATGATTTGGAATTTGTGAATCATTTTATCGTGAGGGTACAATAGGCTGGCTCTTGCTGAGTTCTGAAGCTGATCCATGCTGTGCTATCATTTATGGGTTCTTTTTCTTACTACTTCTTCCTATATCAGAAAAAGAGAAGGAGGAAGCCTGGTTTACCAATTACTGCCACCTCTTCCTTTCCTATGTGATTTCTGTTCCACGAAGCAGACTTTGTGAGATAGTTGAAAGCTGCACTGGGATCCATAGTAAATTTCTAAATAATCTTCAGTCTGGTGCAGTGGACAGGATTTTACACCTGGATATTAAATATTAGTTGTTATGGCTACTGCATACTGTTGTGCTTTCCTGAATAACTCTTAACTGCCTTCAGAGCCCAAGGTCATATTAGAGTTTTCTCCTGAAATGCTCATAAATCCACTCACTATTTGCTCAAGTGTTCATCCCATGCTTGGAGCAAAAAGTAAGAGGGTCTTTTGCTCTTGTGCTTTCTCATGCTGGAAGAAACTTTTTGTGTGTGTGTGTGTGTTAAATCCATGGAGGCTTGTCCAACTCATGCTCTGTCTGCAGCTGAGGATAATGCTTCTCTTTAATTATTATCTCTCAAAGTTCAAATGCATTCATCTTACTCTTATTGCAGGATATGTGCTTTAGGTATTTGCTTGAAGCGGTTATATCGGAATTACCCTAAATAGCTTCTAACTGTTAACTACATTATTGCTCTAATTACTACTTTTAAAATAAAGGCTTTTAAAACTGCTTGTGTATCTTTTTTTTTTTTTCAGGGAAAAGTTCACCTTGAATTAAAACTGAATGAACTGATAACAGATAATGGATCTGTGTGCCAGCAACTAGTAGTACAGTAAGAAAATACATTAATCCTCGAATATTTAGTTGTTTATTTATTAGAACATTGTGTAATTTGTCTCCTAGGACTAATATAATTTTTCTTTTTATGACTTTCCTTGGAGCCTACCTTGCTGAGGGAATGGCTATATATTTACAAAACTTATGCAGAAGTTGTTCACAACTGTGCATCTCTCTTCCTCCCAAAGCACTCACTTTTATTAGAACTCAGTGTGACTATCTATTGTCATTAGTTGGGTGTCTTGTAGTTCCAGTTAAATTTGGTCTGCTGCAAAAACTATGAATACCCACTGCAGCTGGCAGCCGGAACTTCCAGTACTGTGCTTGCTGACGTAATTAAGCTGGTGATGGTGATGTTTGGAACAATGTGAAACTTTTCAAAGTAATGTTTTGGTTTGGTATGTGAAAATCCAGTTTTAGTTTTGCTTCAGGGAGTTAACCATGATAAAGAATGTTTATTGAAAAAGAAAGTATAGGAGTTGCTGTTCTAGAGAGGTGTAAGGTTGCCACATTTCAGTAAAATTTCTTAGCAGCAAGCTGGGGAGTTTTCACTACCAAACTTAATTTTGAATCCAAAGTGTAAAGGAATTATGCCATATCAGAGCCTCATAGAAACAGTAAATTTTTTTTTGTGTATGTTTTTTCAAAAAAAAGACAAATTTTGCCAATATTAAAGAAAAAGCTTGGAATGACACATATCAGAATCTACTAACCAGTCTGTTCTCTTGTATTATTATTCTTAGAGCTGTGTTTGATAATGATCCTATGTGATGGCTTTGGGAATCTGAATATACAGGTTATATGTTGACGTGGGAGTCACAGACAAGGCAGAGACAATCAATGTGATCAAGTGATTGCCAAATTTATTACAAAGCCTTAACTCCTTATATACTATTTCTTACATGCCCTTACAGTGATTTGGCATATTATGATTGGATACATGTCTTGAAGACCCTTAGTGACTGACATGTAATTGGTTAAGCACAGGTGTGAGAACTTGACCTCGAAAGCTTGCCAACAGTCCACAGTTCTCATTAACTCAGTGAATTCCAGCTTCTTCTTATCTTGCCTGCTTAAGCTTCTTTGGGCCTCTCATGGCCTTGCTGTATCTTTCAGGATTATTCAGAGTTTATGTACTAATTATGTATTCTCCTGTGAGAACACTGTCTCTACATCTCCCCCTTTTTGTTTTATATATGTTTTGGGTGACCCTACTTGAGCAGGGGAATTGGGCTAGATTATATCTCCAACATATGCCAACTACAGGCTGCTGGGCCTGCCCCTTTTTTCTGTTGTATGGCTCTCTGGTAACAGGCTGTATAGCTCTCTGATCCTTCACATCAAGGTCTGACATGGCATGTGTCCCCACCGCTCCATGCCTGCCGGGTTACAGCCAACAGCGGAGCTAAAGGTTCTTCTTGGTGGCAAACACGGAGGCCAACCCAATCATGCCCTTGACTGTGGTAGCAGGCATTTTGTCAGCCTCAGTCCTTGCACCTTGTTGTCAATGCAGAGTTTCACCTGCTTCATCCAGTAACAAGTCGCTACTACAGCAAGGCACACACACAAATTTACATTAGCAGAGTAGCTATTACAGGGTGCAGCAGCATGTTGAAGATGCTGATGGCAGCGAGGGACTAGCCAAAGAAATTTCTTACCACTGGAATTCTCCCACCTCTTAATTTGTTCCATCACCTGCTTTATAACACTACCATTGTATTAGAATCTTTCCAGCTTTTGCCTTAGCATTTTCTAGCAGCTACTGCAAATTTCCATACTCTAACATCTCTTTTACAAGTGACAAATCTATACAATACAAGGTGTAGTTCCTCATTAGCAACTGGCTAGTAAATACAGGTGGTTTTATACACAAAATCAGAGCTTCTAATAATAGCTACTTTACAGGCACACATATTCAGGATGTTACTTTTCAGTAGCCCCCAAGTGATGTTTTGCAATCATTAGATTTTCTCTTCCTCTATGTCATTCTGCTTGGGGTATTCACAGTCAGCTCCTGTAGCTGAGGCATCAGGTTTTTCCATTCGTCTGTCCAGCTCACGGCAAGGCTTGCCAAACTTAGCAGGCAGTCGCCATGGACCTGTAGGCAGGAGGACACAAATATAGCTCCTCCTCCAGGTTATCAGTTCTTGAGAAGCAGACAGGTTAAACTGCACATTGTTAACAGTCGAGGAGTTTGCTGCATCATTGCCTCTTTTCTTCTTTTTTTTTTTTTTTCTGCCACCCTGATGCTGCTTAGGTGATGGCTCATAAAGCTTGTGGTTGCACTACCCCTCTCGCTTTTTTAGTTAGCAGTTCTTATTTCAACCGATCTATCTATTCCTCCAAGTCTTGGATTCACCCCCAGGTTACCTTAAACATACTAAGCAAGGCTCCTACCATGCACCCACTGTGTTGCAGGTGCTCTTTAGGCTTTGTCTGTGGTGTCTCTACAAACTGCCTCAATACCTGAATAGATTGAGAGGTTATTTTTTTTTTGTTTTGGTTGTTTTTGTGTTTGTTTTTTTGTTTGTTTTGGTTGTTTGCTTGTTTTGTTTTGTTTTGTTTTTTTCCCGAAGTCTCCCTTTGCGGGCCTGCTCAGCAGCAACCATAAATACCTGCCAGCAACTGCACTTTTGCATTAACCCTTTCTTGCCCGAAATGTTAAACTGTTACCCGTTAAAAACTTTTACATGAACCCAACAACAAAAAATACACAGAACACTGTCTGCCCTCAACACACACACACACACACACACACACACACACACACACACACACACACGTATGGGATCCCACAAGCACACTCCACACAACTACAATATTTGAAGCACAAAATCCAGACAATCATTACTCCCACTACACAATCCCACGTACAGAACATGGCACAAGGACCCTGTGGAGACTAACAGGAAACCAGCTCCGAGAAGCATCATTGCAGTGCGCGGTGGCAGGCTCAACCTTAGCGGACGTCCCCGCAGAGGCTTTGCCTCCCCCACATCATATGAGGCTTGGGCTTTTATACTGACCAAAATGCACACTCATTCCGATGCAGGTGGCCAGCCTATGTTGAAAGAAGTGGCCAGCAATATCTTTAAAGGTCTCCAAAGGTCAATAGAAACCTGGACATACTTATATTTACCAACTTCTAGTACATGAGTATGACAGAGAAACTGTATTAAATGAGTTTTACATGGGCTCCCAAGTCCACGGTCCGTCACAGTATGCCCAATACCCCTGATAAGAGCATATGAGAGACCTTCCCACCACCAGAAAATCACACAATACGTCTGTATCCCGCGCTGGTCTCGATTCCCTGGAGGTTCGGGGGAGGGGGGGGTGGGGGGTTGGGTGTTTTTTGTTTTTTTTGTGTTTTTTTTTTTTTGTTTATTTGTTTGTTTTGTTTAACATAAAAAAAGTTGCTCCCTTCACTTTAAGAAGGACTGAAAACATCCATAAAACTGATGTCTTAAGCTCAAATTTCAATTCATTCAATCACTGACAAGGGGGTTGTCCTGGAGCAGTACTGACTCTTTCCAGGGTTTTACCCATCGAGCTGGCACCCACCACGAACTGGAATCTGTAATTTACACACATATGACCTCAACCAGTTAGTTTTACTTTCATAGGACCTTTCCAAATGCCGGTTTCCAAATCCTTGTACTGGACCAGAATACTCGGGGTTTTAGTCATATAACCTGAACCTAATGCCTGACCATTTATTATAGCAGGGGGATCATTAAAGTCTCCTGTCAATCGCAAAAAAAATCATAACATGTATAGCTTAAGAGGATTTTAACCCATATGTGGTCACCACTTGTTGGGCCTCCTTAACTATTTTGAGATCAAAAGCTTCCCACTCTTTACCCCCCTGCTGTGTAGTAAACACAGGATATGCAGAGAGGCCCACTGCAGAAAATTCACCAGTAATAATCGCATCTTTGATTAACCCGTGCCAACAGCGCGCAGGATTTGTGCCCCCTGATACCTCTCCCACCCCCTCCCCCTGTTTGCCTTCTTTAAGGAAGTGATTTTGCAGAGGATAAGGTGGTGACACCGATAGAGATGTGTCAGTCCGAGTCTCGAGGGCTTCAAGCTTTTTCATCAGTTGTTGCAGCTAAGTGTCTCCAAGGCAAGTGAGTAGTTGCTGATAAGCCGAGCAGACCGACCCGGGAGACAAAGAGTCGGAGTCTGGAAGCAGAGGATATAAATCTGGCTCGGATTCAGGGGACTCTGAGTCCGATCCTGGGTCGAACTCGGGGTCTCCATTGTTCGCAGCTATGTCTTTCTTGTCAGGTGTCTCTTGTTCGGTACGTGGCCATCTGTGGACCTGGCTCTTGCTTGCATCGGCTCGGGGCGTTGATTTTTCGGCGCCGTTCCAGGTACCACAGGAGGTGCAAAAGTCATAGCCAGAGCACTATGATGGGGGTTAGGGGAGACAGCCCCTTCTGGAGCTGTGGCGGCAAATACAGAAGCTACCGCCGCCCTTTCCAATTTCATCTCTTTCAAAGTCTCAAACACCAATCTCCAAAGTGTAGAGTGTTTCTCTGCATCTTTGGTCCCTTTACTAACCTTGCGATCATGGGACCACTTTAACAGCCTCTGTAAGGTGGCACTATAATATTGCAGTCCTCTCTTAGAGAGAAATGTGATGGAAGAGCTCCATCACTGCCTGTTCCTCTTTGGATAGCGAGTGTCCCATCTCCTCCCCCGCCGCTCACCTGATCGGGGCGAGATTCCCAAAGTTTTGCAAACGTCTGACTTCCCAGCACCAGGGCAGCTCTGAATTTCGTCCGGCTCTCCGCCCCCCTCCTTTTGTCGGACCTTCAAATTTGTCTTCTTCGAGTTACCGATCGGAGGGTCCCTGTTCAGGCACCACTTGTTGACGCGGGAGTCAGGGACAAGGCAGAGACGATCAATGTGATCAAGCGATTGCCAAATTTATTACAAAGCCTTAACTCCTTATATACTATTTCTTACATGCCCTTACAGTGATTT